GAGGAAGAAATCTTTTACAATGAGGGTGGTGAGCTCCTGGCCCAGGCTGCCCAAAGAGGTGGTCTGTGTCCCATCCCTGGAACCATGGTGGGGTTGGCTGGGGCTCTGAGCACCCTGCTCTAGCTGCAGATGTCCCTGCTCCCTGCAGGGGGGTTGGATGGGGTGACCTTGAAAGTTCCCTTCAACCCAAACCATTCTATGGTATTTTAAATTGATTGGTTATTGTGGAGCAGGGTGGGAATAGCCTGTATGGGGAGAGCTGCAGTTCTGGTCCTGACTCTTCTCTGCTCACTCTCTTGCCTCTTCTGTTTCCAGAAGGATTTCAGTCCTGGATGTGGCGGGGGCTGACATTTCTCCTTCCCTTTCTGTTCTTTGGGCACGTAAGTTGGGCAGTCCCATTCTTCCCTCTGTGGTGCAGGGCCTGGGAGGGTCTGCTGCTGGGGCTGCAGCACTGTGGAAAGGTGCTTTGGATCACACACACCCATGGCAAATGTTTCTAAGGTTCTTTTTTCACTCATAATGAAATTGCTTTTTCTCCCTCTAGTTCTGGCAGCTCTATAATGCAATCACGCTTTTTGGATTGTCAAGGCACAAGGAGTGCAAAGAATGGCAGGTGGGTGGTGGTTCTGCCCAGAAAAAGCACAGAGCAGGGGGGGAGGAGGTGTTTAACCACATTGTTAAACGTATTTGGGCATCTGACCCCATCTAAATATCTCAGATGACGTGGCAAAGAGCCTATATAAGAGAACTTAAAATAAACGTGAGTTGCTGTGGGGAACTTGCACCCTCGGGTGGCTGCACAAACTGAAAGGCAGAGTGTGTAGGGGGAAGAAAACACATGTGGGTGCATGTCTCCCTTGTTGTGCATGCATACAGATACTTAGCTGAGTTGCTGGCAGTTCTTTATGGCTGATCCATGGGTTACACATACAAAAATGTGATGACAAAAAATTATGGGAGTGAATCACTTTGAAAACAGATTATCCACTTTATTGCCCCACTTTCAGGGATCCTTCCACTTGTTTTCGTAGTTGCTGCCACCCATCAGAGGTGTCTATCCATTGTTCCAGCCAGGATTGCTCCTGTTGATCCAGACTGGAGCACACCCCTCGTGCAGTGGTGCTGATGATATGATGGTCTTTATTTGGGTCAGATCCTGCTGTAACTTGTGTGCTCAGGAGGAACACACCTTCCCACAGAAACGTGTCATTCACCCACGCCTGTGCCACTGCTCTTCGATGAACGTGCTCGTAGCAGGACTTCAGTCCTTTAGACTGAATTTAAGGGTTTGGTTTTACTGTCTGGTAGAGTCCAGCAGTGTTGAATATACCCCATGTTGTAATATTAAAAAGTAGGAAATGCTGCTTAAACAATCATGATAAAAATACACTTCCTGTTAACCCACACAGCTGCATTTCTGTTTGGCTGTGATCTTCTCTCCTTAGATCTCCATGCTGGTGGATCCTAAGCAAGCCCCATTAGAGCTTGTTTAAATCTGGCCAGAGCAGTACCCACACCTCTCACCCTTTTTCCCCCCTTTCTCCCCATTCAGGTTTTTGTGTTGGCTTTCACGTTTCTGCTGCTCTTCCTCGGGAACTTCCTCACTACTCTCAAAGTGGTGCACACTAAGCTCCAGAAAAACAAAGACAAAGTGAAGAAGTTGTGAAGCTGGTGTGCTGGCTGCTGCCCCTCTGCCTGCAGCAGGCCCAGCGTTTGGGATGGACCCTGCAAAACCCCAGCTACACCACGGGCGGGCTCGGAGGGACTCGTCCACCCCTGTGTTTGGCAAAGGAAAAGGACTCTGCCAGCACAGACTCAGTATTAATGCAAGCATGGCTCTGCAGTCCACAGTCCTGCTATTTATGTATATTTAATACAAAACATGTTTGCTTTGGGTTTTTTTTTTCTGTATATAGAGCAGCATGCACCTGCCTGGCAAAGCGCCAGTATTGGGAAGATGTGGGATCTACTGTAATTCCAATTCTGGAATGATATTTAACATTTATTTAAATTCTGGGTATTGGATTTACAAAGGTTTATGAACACTCCAGGCTGGTCAGTAATAGGGACCGAAAGCTGTTTTTAAAGGCATTTATTTAAGTCATATTTTCAGTGGCAATACTAACCTGTGTGTACTGTGAAAAGAAAATATTGCTCATCTTTGTACCATACTGCTGCTATATACACACTTTTAAAAAGCTATTTAAAGAAGAGAAATCCTTTTTTGAAAACAAAAATAAGCAAGCAAAAGCAGTTTTTAAATGGCAGGGAAGTCTGCTAGCCCTCTTCCAGGGAGACCAGGTCATCTGTGCAGGCCTGGAAAACGTCTGAAATAAATCATTAAACATGCAGCTGTTTCAGCCCCTTTTTAATAACAAATACATTGGCCTTCAGGTTGGCTTTTCAAGACTCTGCTTTTCCTTAAAAAGGCCTTGATCAGTGGCAGTAAGTGCAGTTGCACTTCGGTTTCTGTTTTCAGTATTTTTTTTGCTGCCAGTGCCCTTCTGGAAAGGGGAGGACAGGCTCAGCACTGCTACCAATCCTTAAGAGAATGTAAACTCCTGTTTGGGAGGATGACAGAGGACAGATACTGACTTGCCATCCTGCTTAACTCCTCTGCTGCTTGAACTTCAACTCGCTCATTCAAAGAACCCTGTTTTGGGTGCTGTGATGTCAGTGCCTCCTAAGGCCAGCTGTGATTTTGTGAGTGGCTTCAGGCAGCAGCATTCCACCGGCCGTGAGGGTGAAGGCTTCCTTTGCTTGAGCCCAAAGCCCAGATTGGCAGAGTGCTCTGAAAGCAGAGCTTTGGCAGAGGGGATCTGAAAACCATGTTCTTCTCCCCATAAGTGTGCTCCTGAGGAATACACCTGCACTATGGACTTGAATGGTTTCCTCAGTCTTTCTGTTGCTGCAAGGCTGGCAAAATTGCCTTCACACTGTCACTGTCCTGTGGGCGTGAACAATAAATTGTGGTTTGCATATTTTGAACAACTTTCATGCTAGCTGGGCTATATTTTGCTCTGTTAACTTGACTTTTGCAAACATTGTGAGGGTTTGTTTTTAATCCTTTGAACTCTCCATTTATGAAATGTAAATTGTTTTATTTTGAGAGCGATGCTGCAGCCTGCTGGATCTGAGTTCAGGACCTGGTTCTCCACGGGTGGGGAGCTCTGCACGTGGTGAGGAAGTTGAGTTCTGCAGCATGAGAAACTCAGATGAAAAAAGCAAGAAAGGTTCTCACCGTGGAGCTGAGAGTAAATGTGGTAACTTCCTGCACGTTGGTGTTTCAGTTCCATACTGGGTGAGGTGATGGGTACTTCTGTGTCTTTCACTGACACGGTGCCTTGCAGAGAAAGGGCTGCACAACTCAAGGTGCTTCTGTAGTCAAATGTGCACAAACTTGCACTTATTTTAATTTTCCATTTTAAGCTTGTAGGGATTCACAAACCTTAAAACAAGTTAGAGGAAGAAAGGGAAAAAAAAATATTTAAAGGATCAAGGTCTTTACCTTACATGTAAAATAATAATGATGGCTTGCTCCAAACCAGAGTATTTTACCAGGCAGTCACATAGCCAGCAGAAGAGAAAGTTGTGTGAAATCTGCATGATGTACAGTTACCAGGCTATATGTGCAATGTGTCTAATAGTAGACTCTTGGCATGCACTGCCTAAAGTTTTTGGCAAAAAGCTGTGTCTTATTCCCATCGTGCAAGTCCTGCATCTTCTCCCTTTGGATGAGCTGTACTTTGCTTTATACAGGAAGCTTTTCAGCCACACCTGTACTGCAGGAACCTCCTTCCCCCTCACAGGTTACAAACTAGGGATTGCTCCTGAAATCTCACTGCATGGGATGTGCAAAAGCACCTGGAGATTTGATGCACATGTACCAGCTTGAGCAGTGGGAGCATCCCTCATCCTTCAACAGACAACTGATACCATCACAATAGGGAAGACTCTTAATTTATAACAGTAGAGATGATTTAATCAGTTAATGAACAGGAGTAAAGTATTTCCCCTAACATATACCAATATTTGCATCTGTCATGTATTAAATCATAGAATCATAAGGGTTGGAAAAGATCTCTAAGATCATCAAGTCCAACAGTCAAGCCAGCACTACCATGACCACTAAACTATGTCCTGAAGTGCCATATCTACATATTTTTTTGAACCCCTCCAGGGATGGTGACTCCACCACTTCCCTGGGCACCTTGTTCCAAATAGAATCATAAAAAAAAAAAAAGCTATATAAATTTATTGTAAAACTGACTTTACACTACACAGAGTAGCTGCTTGGATTACTTCTAGCTTTGAGTTCTGCAAAGGAAGTATTTTCCATGACATTCCACTTTTGAATTGGAGCAGCAGATGCATTTTCCATTGATAAATGCCACTTTCCATTGCAGCAGCAGGCCTTGCAAGGAGACCTCTGAAGGTGCAGCTCTGCAAAGCTGGCTGGTGGTCCAGGGGCAGTGGTGGGTGCTCTGCAGGCAGCTTGAGGCTCACTCATACCACTGCCACTAAGTATATTAACTGGACAGCATTAAGACAGAGCTTCATTGCTGTCTCTTCAAAGGTGCCTGATAAGTTGCTCTGACATCACTTCTCTTAGGCAGTAAATTTTAAGTATAGCATGCCACAATTACTTTGCAGGACAGAAAAATCCCACTAATTAAGTCACATAGTAGCCGTTGCTGTTCATTGCAATTTAAATGGTGAGTCCAAGGCCTGACTGGTGGTCATCTGCAGTTAGGAGCAACAGAGAGATGGACAAAGCCACACAGCATCAGTAACCTTCATAAAGAGCTTGGAAAACCTCGTGAGAGCAGTGCAACAAAAGTGCAAAAATACTAGAAATTAAATCTTTATAATAAAAATTGTTCTAGGAATACAAACGTGATGAAATTTAAAAAACGTCTTTGGGGTTAAACTGTTTTTAAACAGTTTAAAACTGTTCAGACACTGGCTCTCCTGCAGCCAGTGCTCTCCTGCAGCCCAGGTCATAGCACAGAGCAAACAGTCCGTTTCCTTTGGCGCCTGGCTCTTTTCATGGCACTCAGGGCAATGGTTGTTGCCTCTTTAAAAACGTTCTCTATGTTTTCACGACATTTTGCTGAGCACTCCAGATAAACCTCTGCCTGAATCTGCTGACAAGCCTCTTCACCCTGGAAAGAACAGAAGGTAAGAAAAGATGTAAACCCCGTGGGAGAAGGGGAAGGATGGGGGTGGGAGAAGGAAGGTGAGATGGGAAAGAGAATAATTTTGTATATCTTCATATCATGAGGTCAGGAAGATAGATGCTGCCTCTGAGTATGGTGCTAGAGCATTAAGTGGCATTGGCAGTGAACTGAGGCACTGTTAAATAAACTAAACTTTTTCTCACTATGCTCATCTAGAGCCTGCATTAACAGTTCAGTGCATTAGAGACTCTTAAGATGCACACTGCTGAGAGTGTAAAAATATTCTCTGTATTAAATATCTTTAAAAGAAAGGAGGATAAGATGTCTACACAGCAGTATTTTATCAGGCCTGACCTTAAGTGCTACATGATATCACCTTTAGTAATGAATGTCACATGCAAGAGCAGAATCAGGAGCTATGGGACCTCGTTTTGCTGGTGCACATGCAAACTCTGGCTTTTGCTTTGGAGCATCACAAGAGTTCAGCCCAAATCCTCGTCTACACAAATAGGTGCCTGCACATCTTGGCCTCTCCCAAACACATGCACTGGGAACAGAGCAGAGTCTAAAACGCCTGCATGCAGTCCTGGCTGTGGGAAATCACTACAGGCAGACCATGGTGACTTCTTACTTTGCTTGTGATCCTTTTATTGCCACTGTGGAGTCAGCCCCCAGTTTTGAATGCCTGTGAGCCTTGGAGTGTAATTCCAGGTCTGCGACCCACAGCTTATAAATGTTGTATGTATTCATTATAGGCCCTGGGGGTGGGGTTACTTGAGCACTCAGGATTCTATAGGGGGATTTTCCTCAGCATATTTAAGCCAAGCTTGTCTCCTTCTAGTGGTTTGCAAGCTGCAGTGCTGGCAGATACTGTTCATCTCCTCTGTGCCTGGCATTGGAAGCATCAGGTCGCATGCCTGGAGATGCCATCAGCTGTGACAGACTGAGGTAGTGTGCACTTAAGGGGAGAAAAACTAGTGGGGGGCTCACACGGGAGACACAGTCTGTACATCATGGGGGCCCTGGAATTTAGTTGTGTGAGGACTCAGCAGACTCACCAAAAGTGTCTGTTTCTTGCCCTGAGCTTCACGTGAGGGTGGTGAAGGGAGTTATTAATGCAAATGAGGGACAATCTGTAGCTGCTCACAAAGCAACAGGACGGGCATCTCATCTTGTGCCTAAGGAAGACAAGCTAATAAAAGCCCCAGAGTGGTTTAGCAGTGATGCAGTTGCAGTTTCTTTTCATGCTGTTTAAAAAAAGCAGTGACTCATTCAAGGTCTTGGTGCACTTAACCTTGTTCCCTGCACTTGTGTGTCAAACAGTTTGAAAGCTGATATGAGAGGAGAAGGATAGCTTTGTAGTTTGGAGGGGAAAACAAAACAAAACACACACAATCAAAAAAAAACAGGAGACCAGAGCAGAAAGGTCTCGTGTGACATGGGACAAGCTGTTCCATCATTGTATCTAGGACAGCTGTACTGGTGTTCCAAGACTAATTGCAGGTCACACTGCTTTTTAAGACTTAAAACTGAAAATATTTGATAATATGCAGATACTTTTTAAGATGACTTTAGAAAATTTAAAGAAAGGTCTCTTATGTTAGAGAAGCCTTGCAGATGTTTTTGCTATTGTCCTTGAAAAGATTTATTTTTAAACAGTGCTTGCAAAACACATTTTTTTTTCCAGAACTGTCAGTATTTAATCCTGTAATGTGTATGTATCCCAGCATCTCCAGTCTTTATCACAATCCTGATCAAAGTACTAGTGATGGGAGCAATGAATGCTAATAAAAATTATGAAGGGTGCCCAACAAACTTGTCAAGGCTTTATAAATTTGTAACAGCAATAACCCAGCTTGTGAAACAAGAATGAGATGTAACTAGCCTAGAAGATGTAGCCAGCAGTGTCCTTTCAGACACCCCAAGGTACGCAAAACACTCTCCAAAGTCCAAGGACTTCCAGACCCCCCTGGCAGTGCTGACTCACTCAGTAATTTCTTCATCTGGACACTGTGATCACCTAATTTTGGAGCATCTCTCATTGTACTTGTGAGGAGCGACGCCGCTGAGGTAAGTGTGCTGATCCCTGGCAGAGAGGACAGCACTCTCCGTGCACTGGCACCCACCTGGCTGTAGGTGATGGGCTCCTGCCTGCAGGCCCTGAGCTTGCGCAGCTGCTCCCTGTCCTTCCGCAGGTCGGTCTTGCAGCCGATCAGCACCACGGGCACGCCCCGGCAGAAGTGATGCACCTCGGGGTACCACTGGGGGTGCAAAGACAAAACGTCAACATCTGCCCTTTGGGTTGGTTTTTTAAACAGAAAACAAAACAGTGAAGCCAAGGAACAGAACCAGCGTTTAATGTGTGCTGCAATTTTAGAGTTTGGGGAGTTGTTAATCTGCTGGTCGGGGCCCAAAGTGCACTGTTTACAATACAGAAGCATTTAAAGGTCCTACCCAAGGTCAGCTGCTCTATAAAAACCTACGTGGTATTTGTTGCTGTGCCAAAGCTCTTCTTTAACATCTGTTTAAATTCAGAAGAGCTCCTCTAAAGTCATATTCAAAAGCAGAATTTGGACCAAGTCTTGCTTTGTTTTGCTGGTGCTCTGTGCAGGAACTGTTAACTTCTACTTTGGAAGGTTACAGGAATCCTGGTCCAGACAAGTGGTTGCTTACATCTCTCCCCTGTAATTAAATACTCACGTGATGGAAGTAGACTTGGATCTAAAATGCTTGTGTGCACCACTGGCCGTGTGACATTGCTACAGATAAAGCAGTGATTTCACTGCTGCTGTTGGGTGTTTTTAGTGTACAGCAGAGTGAACCCCAGGGCCATGGAGAGGTGAGCTCCAGGCCAACGTTCCGTGGCTGCAGCTGAGTGCAGGATGAGTGATCTGTGCCCAGGGTACAGAACACTAAATGCATCAGCTATTTTAATGTGACATCCTGTCACCTATTGGGCGTATGTAATTAATTTTAAAGGTTGAAGCAGTTATGAGGGGCTCTTACCTTAGCTGCTACGTTATCATAGCTAGTGGGGTTCGTGACGTCGTAGCAAATGAGCACCACGTTTGTGTTCTGGTAAGAAAGGGGCCGTAGCCGATCGTAGTCCTCCTGCCCTGAAACACAGGGAATGTCTTGGGAAAAGGAAATCTCTGTCCTTAAGGATGGGAATATGTAAAGGCACATATCTGAGATCAAGAACAGTAGTACTGTAGAATTGCACAGAGTGCAAGGCTTCCATATGTATAAAATTTCCTCCCTTAAATGCAGGAGGTTCCTCTTTACTGACAAAACTGATGCTTTAAAATATAAACCATGTCCTGGGCAAGCTTTAATAAAAAGCCTGCTTTGTCCAATTGCTCATTGCTTGGAAGCAGTTGGAATCACCAGTTGCCAAGTTGCTTCTCACAAGCAAAATCAGCAAGAGGACTTTGACAGTTACCGATGAAAACCTCTGCGGTTCGGCCGCGCCCCGATACACTGGCACATGTGATGCTGTGAGAAATTACACCCTGCTTGCTAGATGTCAATGCTGGAGGAAAAATCCCCGTGGCAGACTGGCTTTTCCCAGCCCAGGGAGCTGAGGGGCCGTGGCAGTGAGCACACTGTGCCTTCCCCACCACTGCAGCACACGCCTGGCTCCACAAGACGTGAGCCAGGCTTCACTGCTCTCTGAAGCAGGACTGTGCAGCAGATCACAGGGATGCTGCTGAATTCTGGAAAAGCAGGGAATTCGTCATACTGCTGATTAAGGGTATTCTAGCACGTGATCTGACAAGAGGAGGATGATTTGCTTCAGACCTGTACTTATTGTACTTGCTCTTGCTGTATTATGACTTAGCAGCAATCACCGTGCTGGGGTCGGAAGGAGTCTTGCTTGGAGAGGCTGAGTTCAAGCAGGCAGTAATTACCAGATATAGTTGGCAGCTCGGGGCAAAAAAAGCCTAATCTTTTTTCATTTGAGTTTTTTTCAGAGACTTAACAAGGAAGAAATGGTGATGAAGCAGTTTGTAGAAGCTCTATTCTACACCCAAATGCTGCCCCTGGAATTGGGTATGTCTCTGGGACATGCTAAATTTCCAAAACAAGATCTGGGAGTGCCATTCCTTCCCTCGACCCCCACAACATACACACAGCTCAGGAACTGCTGCACAGGGAGGTCGCACAGCTCCAATCTCTGTCTTGGTATTTCAGATGAAAGGATGGTGAAGATTGCAGCGTGCCCCAACTTTATACCAGTTACTGCTGCCCTGGCACCTGGCTGGGTCCCATTCATGTGCTCATCACTCCAGCCAGCATGCTTGACTCCAGCTGCAGTCTGAGGAATCAGAGATACCAGAAGGGAAATAATTCTACAATACTTTGTTCCCTTCCTTAATTTAACTGATGGATTGAGATACAGGTTATTACAAGACAGTCCCTGCTGGATAAGTTGTTACTCAGTTTGCCCAAGATGTTTGTAAAATGGGAACCTTAGGTTTGGAACGTTCTGTATTTGAGCTCCCAGAAGAGCAGCATGCTCCATGAGCAACATGCAGAACAAAGGAGGTTTGATCCCTCAAGGTTTAATCCAGAAATAATAGATAATTGACAAAATTACACATGTTGTATAAATATTCAGTGCAAAGACTGTACTGTTTAGCCCTTCTTATTCCCCCAAATCCACATACTTGTTTGCAACCAATTTAACATTTTGTTGCTGAAATAATCCTTTAAATGTATTAAATGCATCAGGTGCCAAACACATTTTTTTTTCCCTCCTAACTTCCTCTAGTGTTATGTGCTGTGTATGATTTACCCCGTTCAAGTTCATGCTTCTGAGCATCTACCAACGTATCTTGTAAGATCAAAACGTCCTCCAAGTTATTGCTGGCAATTTGAGGCAGACAGGGCTGTCCCCTGGGAAGAAATGTGTTTGTTTGCTTGGAATCAGAACATACAGCTAAATTTCTATTCTGGCTGGACTAACAGAAGAGGTGTCTTCTGTGAATTGATACAAATACGCTCCAGTGCAAGTCAAAAACTATAGATGTGCCTCAGAACTGCACCTTCATCTTCCAAACCAGCCACGCAGCTATGGTTTTTCTCTCAGCAAACTGAGAAAATAAGTGCTGCTGTGTGAAGTGTGGCTCTGTGCATATCTGGATTTTCAGGAATAGCACAGAGACCACAGCAGGCAGGTTAGAAGGTAATTGCTTCACTTGTATTGTGGTGGGGTGATTGCAGCCCTCGCTTGGAAGGAGAGGAAGTGATTTAAGAGCTCGGGTGCAGCTCTTCAGCTGCTGAGGATGTAACAGGACCCAGCTCAAGCTGTGCCTGAACATCAACATCTCTCACTGAAAACAATCCCTTTCACCTCCATCCTTAAATGCTGCTGATGAAATGCAAGAAAGGGCCTTGGAGACTTTTTCTCTGTAAAGCTGCTCGGTCTGTGGTCAGAACTAATTTGGCACAGATTTAGGTCTTCTGCTGGAAGAGTTTTAAAATGAAGGAACGGGGCTGAACCTAAGCAGTAAGTGAATGTGTATGCAGAACCCCCAGGTGTGCTTCCTCAAGCACAGGTAGCTATTTTCTTCCCCCAATTAACAAAAACCATGCTGTGGAAGAGCTGGTTAAATAGATGCCTACATGTGAGCACAGCTGTGACTCTTCTGCCTTCCTCAATTCACTCACTGTACCATCAGAGACCCTGTTCGGGGGTTTTTATAAAGACAAACATCCGTCCAGCTGAATTCCCCTACAATCTGCTCATTATTTGCACAGCTCACACTCCTTCATGCCTCTGTGACATGCTGCATAACCCACATCCCTGCAGCCAGGCCCTGTGGTGGGGTGGGACCTCAGGTGATGGATGAGGGAAGAAGTGAAACCACAGCTCTCGGTCTTATGTGCACGTACACCTCTGTGTGCTCTTCCTAACCCCTTCAGCACCAACAAAGTGCCAGGCTGCGTGGTGCTCAGGCTGTAAAGGAGCTCAGCACCATTGGCAGGAGGGGATAAATGATGGAGCCAAGACTTGCCAGCCCAGGAGCCTGCCAGTTTGTGGTGTCCTGATGTCCCACAGCCCCATCCATCACCACCAGCCACCAGTGGGCAAGGAAGAATGTCATCTCCTGCTCAGGCCAGGCCAGCCACCACTTCCTGCCTGTTGTCTGTAACATTTCACTCTGGTGGTTTGGGACTGCCATGGAGCCATGTGGGGGTGAGCCCCACAGGCACACACACACCCCCAGGTCTCTTTAACTTGTTACTCCGCAGGCTCCATGGGAATACCACCCTTGTTATCTTCTCAGCTCTGGTTTTTCACTACTCCATGTAAAAAAAAAAAACTGGGAAATACACATCCTTGTCCAGAATAAAATCAGTAGAAGAGGGCACTTAGGGGCAGGGAGGGCACACTTTTTAATTAAAGTTGGGGTGTTTTTTTTATTTTCCTTAGGTACACCTTCCCTTTTAAAGTATGAAAAATTACTCTTGCATATACCAGCTTTTAAAATTTCTCTTAAGGCTGTGCATGTCATTACAGCCCTGAAAACCCCCCTGGAGGCTTCGTGTGTGCTTCCTGCCAGTCAGAGCGAGCACCACAATGATGAGGCATTACTTCCTCCCCAGCCTTCCCCAGCCCAGCAGAGCTCTTCTCTTTGGGCTGAGAAAGTCCTGTGCTGAACGGTGTCAAAAATGGAACCTCGTGTCTGAACTGCAGCTAAAGCATCAACATTGCTCCCTTGGTGTGTAGAAAATTACAGGGTTAATTTAGCTCTCGGTGCCTTTGCCTCTGTGGAGCACAGCAAGAAACAGAAACTTGTAGGGGAAGAAGCAGCTGCAATTCTGTTTGCAGATGAGACAAGTGGAGTTACAAAGCCCCGGGCGTTGCGTATGTACACCACTGGCTTCCTGCAACACCAGGAGTCTCTCTGATGAGCTACCCAGAGTAATGTAGTACAAAAGTATCACCAAAAATTGTAGCATATTTTAGACTAACAATTTGTTACCAAAGTTCTTTGTTACCAAAGTTCTTCATTTGTTACCCATAGCTTTTGTAGCTTGCAATGCTTGATTCCTAGCTACTTTGTTTGTGTCCTTCTTCAGTAAGCAGGACAAGCTCAAAGTCTCAAGCTGCAGAGGACCTGACAATACAAAGAATCCTTCTAACTTTAAACAGCCCACAGAGCTGAACCTGTCCTTTACCTTCCCCTGATGCTGAAGTACATGCAGCTCTATTTAGTGTCACTCTTAGCAAGTTCCTAAAAATATCAAAGTCCTTTCTGCAGTGGGGGCATCATGAAGATCCAGTGACACTTTTTAGAAGAACAGCCTTGTCTTCTCCTTCCCTATGCTGCTACATGGTCCTTAGCTGAAGTCTTTCACCTCACAAATGGTTTTACATCCTTTTGATTCCATTTAAATGATTTTTCTGATAAGCTGAATGATTTGTGAGCCTTTCAGACTGAGAAGCATGAAGCTGTCTTAGGATTTTAGAGAAGAGCAAGACCGAGACAAGCAGTTCAGTAAGTCAGAAGAGGATTCATAAAATATGACCAATACAACACACTGTTCAACTTCTTCCTGGGAGTACAGTGGTTTTATGTTTTAGACTCCTCTTTAAGCTGCAGTTGCTGCTGTACACCCACCCCAGAGCACCGTCACCCAGCTGAGAGGAATTGAATGAGCTGCTGCTGCACGACACGCCAGGAGCAAGTCAACACAGTGAAACACCAGTCCCAAAACTCATCTCCCATGGCAGAGGGACAGGAGCTCTCTTGTCTCCTGAACTGGACACTCCCCTTGCTCTTCTCTTACTGCACTGCCTGAACTCCAAGAACAAGACATGACTCTTAGTCCTAGTCTAACCCTTAAGGAATTCTGCATCAGTTTCGTACTGTTAAAACAAGGATGGGAGTAGAATGTGTGCTCAAGTGAGTTCTTCCTCTAGCATAACTTCCAGCTTCAGAAAGAGGATGAAGGGCTGCTTGAATTACAGGGTATGACAGATCTGTAACACAAAACTATATAAGCAGTTTTGAAACAGAACCAAAACTCAGGTTACTTCTCCTCTCAAGCAAATGCCTTAACCAGGGTGTCAATATCCTCCCTTTCTTTGCACCTGACAATCTTGATATGCCTCATGCAAAGTGAAAGCTATTTAGCAGGAAGGGAGGAGACAAGTGTCAGCAGCCTCCAACGACCTGTAGCCTGGTGGTCATGACACTGTTTTAGGAGATGAAACGTGTTGGGTTTCAAGGTTTCCTGATGAGAGATGGAAAGCAACTGCTCCTTCATGGCAAAGAGCTCTGCCGACCAGGTAACAATGGCACCTCCACTCCCTAAAGGGCACAAAAATGTGCCCCACTCTGTGTTTCATTGGGGCAGCACTTTGGTCTGAGACAGTATTTATAGCTGTGAGCTACACGTGGCAGAAGCTGCTTGTCTGAACAAGGAAACAGGGTAAAAAGGGGGACAAACTTTCTAGTGCGGCCTGTTGTGACAGGACAAGGGGTGGTGGTTTTAAACTAGAAAAGGGGAGTTTAGACTAGATAGAAGGAAGAAATTTTTTTAAACGAGGGTGGTGAGACACAGGCCCAGGTTGCCCAGAGAGGTGACAGATGGCACATCCCTGGAAACACTCTAGGACAGGTTGGTGAGGGCTCTGAGCACCCTGCTCTAGTTGCAGATGTCCCTGCTCCCTGCAGGGACAAGATGACCTTTAAAGGTCCTTTTCAACCCAAACCATTCTATGATTCCATGATAAGCCACCAACACCAGGTTCAGCAAACAGTCCCCAGGCTGCTGGTGGCTGTAGGGCCTGCACAGAGCTGAACTCCCTGCGTGACACAAGGAGCTGGGCACTTATGTCAGGCTTGCAGGAGTTTAGTGCTGCAATACTGACCTTGCCCTACCTACCACCGCTTCTGGATCCAGCACACGTTCCTTAAAGCCTGGAAGAAACTCCAAAGGCAAATAGTTGAAGCTGCAGCTTGATTTTAAATGAGCCAGCCAAGTATCAAGAGCTGTTGAACAGGCAAAAATTCCGCACTGACAGTGGACAAACAAAAACTCAACAAGTTTGATGTGGCAACACACTGTATTAAGGAAATCCCTCTTTGGTTGCTCACACTAGACTTCTCCCCTTCTTTGTTCCTTTAGGATTTAAACACAAAAGCCTTGCCATTCTGTAGAAGATACATTATCCAAACCACTGCACTCAAGAACAGTAACATGGACACAAGAAGATATATTAGCAAATTGGGTGCTCAGGTAAACTGGTAAACATTAGCAATAAAATTCACTTTTAGATTAAAAAACTTTAAAATTATCTATTATGATGTCATGTATAGTTTGCAAGAAGGTAAGTGTGGTTTTCTAATATTAAGCATTAATATGGATTACATTCGGTTCTTATTTGTCTTGGTGTAAACTTGGAACAACTCCACAGGCTTGAATTGAAACATGAATTACACGGAGCTGGAATGAAGCACGTGTCAGTTTTAGGGTTCGTTTAGGAAGGCAGGTGAATAACAGGGTCTAGGAGCTTTGAATGAAGTTGAACAGAAACCATTTCACAAATTCCTGAAATGAACCTGCTCACACAACCAGCATTTTCAAATAACATTTACTGCTAAGGCCTTTTTTTTTTGCACACAAACCATCCTTTTTCTCCTTCACTATTCGATCACACATGGCAGGAGATTAAAACATTTTCCCAGTTGATTGTATTATGCCTTGCATCTGGGAACAGGGTTTTAATACCTTCAGATATGTTTGCTATTTGATGTGATTTTCTTAATGAACTGGGTTGTTAAGATAATGAATGAGTCCATGGCTAAAACTGCCATGAGACAAGCGACCCTGGTTTTTTTTTCTGGAAGGCACATTTATGCATGCAACAGGTGATGGTTGTTGTTTTGTTTGTCCTTTAGGAGTCCTGACTGCAATGTTACACTACAAATATGCCAGTAGAATTTCAAAATTCATCCCGTGCCCAGCTTTACAGCCTTCAAGAGTCAGTCTGCTTTAAGCTGACACAGCAAAAGCCCATGAACAGAAATACAGGCACCTTCACAGGAGTGGCATTTTACACTGGTAAAAGCAGTTTCTGCTTATTTATCTGAAATGAAGAAAACCCAGGGGCTGCCTTTGGTTTTTTCTCCGCCCCCGCCAGCCGCACGGAACCGGCCTCTCGCAGCCCGACGCTGTTGGGATTGGGAAAACGGCAGGTAGGAAGCGAGCCGCCCCTTACCTGCGGTGTCGTACAGGTTGAGGGTCACCTCCTTTTTGCCCACCGTAACGCTGGTCGCGTACTTCTCGAAGACGGACGGCGCGTACTGCTGCAAAGGGGGGAGAAGCGGCTGTAGGCAGGGGCCGGCAGCTGGCAGACAGCGCC